ATTCATTCCTCAAGGGAAGAAAATTATTTTCAACTCCTGTGGATAAACTGCTTCCAGTAAAGTCACTTTTTGGTCATCTGGCATTAGCTTTATAAGACTGGAAGAAAATCATTAAAAAAAAATTTTTTTTAATGTTTTATTTATTTCTGAGAGAGAGAGAGGCAGCGTGAGCAGGGGAGGGTCAGAGAGAGAGGGAGAAACAGAATCTGAAGCAGCTCCAGGCTCCAAGCTGTCAGCACAGAGCCTGACGCGGGGCTGGAACCCACGAATGGTGAGATCATGACCTGAGCCGAAGTCGGACGCTTCACCGACTGAGCCCCCAGGCGCCCCATGGAAGAAAATCATTAAGGAGAGAGATTAACTAGCAAGGGGCCTGCTGGGTGTCACAAAGGAGAAACAGGTGTGAGGACTCCATGCCGATTCCAGGGACAGTCACCAAGAGGAGCTGCCTCCTCAGCACCCACTGAGGGGCTGGCCACAGCTGCGCATTCATGGGGCGATGTGGGAAGCCACTGGGAACGCAGCCTGAGGCATCGGACCACGGGAGGGTGAGTGCGGAGCAAGGGTCAGACGCAGGCGTGAGCGGGGCCTGAGGAGCAAGGGCAGAAGAGGACAGGAGCCGCCACGTGCTCTGCGGCCAGAGCAGGGCCGCCCGAGGCCACGTGCCGCTCAGGGCCCAGCAGAGTTTAGGGAAGGACACAAAGAACTCAGAGAGAACAGACGTGGGATAAAGAGAGGTACGGGATCAGACCATCCCACGGCCTCTTGCTAGGGTGCTGGTGACCCTGAAAGAGCAGAGGGGATGGGGGGGATGGGCTCCGGACTGTGCTGCGCAGACAGGGAGCCCCACGCAGGTGACGAGTGACACTGTTCCGGATGGGCTGTGGAACGTACTTCTTCTCAGTAGTGAGGTACCAGGACAAGGGTCCAAAAGGGCCACTCCCAAACCCCCTCTCCCCACATCCTCCCAGCAGCCCCCGGGCCCTCATCAGGTCCAGCTCCAGCACTGACTGAGCCCGCAGAGCAAGTCTCTCCTCTGCCCTCCCCACCCCTGGCCCGTGCACACTCTTTGCCACCTAGAAAATGCTATTCCCCTGCATCACCTCTGTGTCTGGGAACTGGTCCCTCTGTCCTGTTCGCTGTGATGCATCTTTTCCTTCACCTGTCAGAGCCCCCCCGGTCTACTGGCCTGACAGCCACACAGCAGCCAGGAATGAGCGCATGTAGCACATCTGGCTAACCCGTTTCTGTGCCTCTGTCCTGACAAACAGAACGACAAGCATTCTACTGGTCCTTGCAACTGGTCCCTTTGTCCTCAGTCCAAACAAGAAGCCAACTGCACAGTGGGTATCAAGCCCACTGTCCGCGCTGAGACAGGTCTACAAAATGCCCCGCACGAAAGCTGGATCCACCCCTGTATCACCCACAGAACTATGGGAAAGAGAACAGCTGCCCCTGACTCTCAAGGCAGCCGCCCACCCAGTCGTCTCCCCAGCCACCCGCCCCAGCCATCTGCCCAGCCGCCCCCCGCCAGCCACCCACCCAGCCGCCCGCCCAGCCGCCCACCCAGCCACCCCCCTACCCCCTTGCCCAGCCACCCCCCACCGGCCGTCCCCCTAGCCACCTGAGAAGATGTTCTTGAGGTTTTCCACGGCAGCGGCAAGCTGGCTGTGCCGCACGACGGCGTCCTTCACGTCCTTGAGGCTCTCAACGGTGTTGATGCTCTGCCTCCAGTCTCTGCTGACGTCGGCCAGGGACCGCTGGATGTCCGTGACGTCATTCAGCGCGCTGTGGAGCTGGCTCAGGCCTGTGCGCACACCGTCCAACTGGGACTGGATCGCAGCCTAGGGGAGACACCCAGAGGTAATGCGTCAGGCTCCGCACTGGGCATGGAGCCTGCATTAGATTCCACCCCTCCCTCACCTTCCCCCCACCGGCCCTCTCCCTGGCTTGCTCTCTCAGTATGGCCAGTGCCATTGTGCAGAACTGGTATATGAGATTCCGACTCACTCCACGAGTGACGCCGAATGGCCATGAGCGCACCGTACATACAGCCAGAAGGGAGGGGGTGCGAAGGAGTGCCAGCAGGTGGAGGCGACGGGGAAGGGAAAGACCAGGTGGCACAATCAAAGCCAGGAACACACCTGACCCAGAAGTCATAACTGCACGTAGAAATAATTAACAACGATGGTAACAGACTGCACAAGGTCCCTAACTCGCCAGTGACAATCCTTTGTTAATCCCACAAATTTCTGGAACAGATAAAAATTCTGACTAAAAATGTAGCAGGTCCAAACTATTTTTGAAATTAAAGAAAAACTACCATTTTAAATAAGTCTAACTGGTCTTCAGATGCTTCGTTTTGGGACAAATGAATGACCTTCATCCTGTCTCACGGAGCCTGACATTACCTGGACGCTAAAAGAGTTTTCGACTGAAAAGGTGACCTCACTGCCGTAACGGTGTGAGAACTAACTTCCCTCAAAGGCATTCTCTTAAATCCCAAGCCCATTCTGCTGCCCGCCAATTACAGCACACCGTGCTCTTTACTATTTATCTACTTTGTGACCACACCGAATGTACGTATTTTAATAAAAACCTCACCTCTTCACACAATTAACAAATTAAGTTGAAAGCCAATCCAAAGCATAAAACACCTTGAAAATGAGTAATTTTGTTTCTTGTCCGACTCTCACACTCTGCGTAAGTATGCCTTGCTCTCCTCCCTCCCTACCCCCGCAGGGCCAGCAGCGTCCCTGGCACATAGCAGGTGGCTATGGCATGTGTGGCAAAGTCTAAACAAAGAGCTCTCCGGCAGCACCCAGTAGACGACCTTCTAACAGGTCAGGGTGGCTGCTAGGCTAGCATTGTTTAACAATTAAGTGGACACTTCTGGGTGCTTAAAAGTTGTTCCTTTGGGGTTTCCAATATTCCCACAATCTCCTTTGTAAATCTACTGCTTGGTAATACAGCGTTGGAAGGAATGTGTTAAGGAAAGGTGATATTCTGTTCTGCCTCTTTCCAGATCGTCACAAGATCTAACTTAATTTAGCAATACTACAATGATGATGTTGTGCAGGAACCCAGAACTTCAGATAAACAGATGTGTCCTGATTGAGAGTGAAGCCAATGCCCATGCCTCTCGGGTTTCGTACCTTCAATCTGGCCTCCACAGAGGCCTTTTTCCGGGCCTCTCTTCTGCGATACTGCTCCACTTTATCCAGCTGGTCCGGGCGCTGAAGCATCCCAGCAACCCTTTGGACCGCTGTCGCAACAGCCTCCCGGTCTGTCTCCTTCATGATTATAAAGCAGGTGGAATGTCTGCACCTGTCATACTAGAGGTGTCCTGTGTGAACGGGGGCAGATGTAGGGAAGGTAGAAATGTTAGGTACAGAACTCACTCCCCCTCATAGGCAGCTGCTCACAATGGACTGTAAGGAGAACTTTTGAGATCATTAATCCAGTAAACCTGAAAGTTGAACAGGGATTATGAACTCCTTAATAAGAAATACAAACCTCGAGCACTCTGATATGAAGGCAGTTTTACCCTCAAGCGGAGCAGAGACATTTGCAGGTATGAACTATGAACAGACAATGTGTCCATGTGCACCTCATCCTATCAGATGTCGGTCTCCAAGGTACTTCTCTTCCCTAGACAAGGCCAATTCCTGGGGCCTTCACAGAACCCTTTGTCCACATCGGTGCCGAAGCTGTGCCGGGAGGCCTCAGTGAAGAGGGACACCACGGGGACAGCATACACCTCAACATGCCCCACCCATCCCCCCATTCAAGTCCCAGCACGTGCCCTAGGATTCCCCTCAAAAATCACTGCCGTCCGTAATATCAAAAACTCTGCTGCCAACGACTTAACAGCCCCAATAAACAAAAGACGAGAGCGCAGAAGGTACCTTTGTTCAGGTACGACGTGCAGACACGCCAAGCAAACCTACCTTCCATCCCAGCTCCAATGCTCTGGTCCTGGCACCAGCAGGGGTCTTCTGGTGAGCGTGTGGCAAATGAGAGGATTTAATAAACACGTGTTCCCCCAGCCTCAGACATTAAACCTCTACTACCGTGCATGTTTTCTGTATACAACTTCTTAAATAGATGAAAAAGACCCATCCTCTCCCTTAATACTTTAGTCCTCATTCTCATATGCTTTCAGAAAAACACTCAACTCCAGCCACGGTCCCCACTCCGGGCTCTGTATTAAATAATTACTGTCTGTGCAGGACATGCCTTTTTACTCCTCTTTCAAACAGCGCTGTATCGCAGCCAGTCTTCCCTCTGCGGTTGACTGTGTACACCAACGCAGGAAACCCGAGCCGGACAGAAAAGTACACAGACGCCAAAAACACTGAGGCACGTAAGATGCCTTAAACCCCACCTTCCAAAGGCAGGCGTTTCTACCCGGGCTCCTTTGCTCCCGGGTTTTCTCTGCGTTTCCTCCCGGCCGACACTCACTGCGGAGGTAAGTCTCGCTTCCCGGGCAGGTCACGGGCACCCCCACTACCGCGCACCCGCACGACTCTCAGCACGGGGCCGGCCGGCAGCCCCAGAAGCGGCCATCCAGCCGGTCGCAGGAGCGCACAGCGGGTCTCGGGCGGCCCCCGGGGCTGGCTCGGCGCCCCCCGAAAGCGCGCTAGCAAGCGGCGCTCGCGGAGTCGGCAGGCACCTGCGCACCGGGTGAGCGGCGACATCGCGGCCTCCACCGAGCCTTCCCGGCCGCGCAGCGAGGCCGCGGCAATCGAGCGTCCGGCTGCGCTGCCCGCTCCCCGGGCCCGCCCACTCCCCAGGCCTCGCACCGCGGCCACCACCGCCCAGGCGCCCGCCCTCCTCGGTCACCGGCCCCGGCGCACCGTCTGCCGCCGCCGCCGCCGCCGCCGCCGCCGCCGCCGCCGCCGCCGCCGCCGCCGCCGCCGCCCTGCACTGGGCCCGGAAGTGAGCGGCTCACAGACACTTCCGCTTCCGGCCGCGCGCCGGAAAGGCGGGGCCTGAGCCGTCAGACGTGTGAGGTGGCCGTCAGGATGCGGTACCTGCCCGGGGCCGCTCCCACCCGGGTGGAGTGAGGGGCGTCCCTCAGCTCCTCTCATTCCAGCCCTTCCCGCCCTCCCCGCTCCGCGTCCCTAGGCCAGCTGTTAGGTGCACCTGCCTTTCCCTCTCCTTGGGCACCGTTCTCAGCACCCCCTTCACGACGGTCGTTCCCGATGCGCCCTGTCTGTAGCCCTCTGTGACCTTACCTGAGGGAGCCGCCGTGCCTCTCCATCATGCCGCCTCATCTTGAGTATTTCCCCCCATGGTTTCCATCACAGGTGCTCCGTGTATTTATCTGTTTGTGTGTCTTTCCTGGTTTTGTCTCCTTCGCTACAGCCCCAGCGCCTCCCCAGACCAGTGAATGGCATAGGGCAGACTTTCAGTAAATTAATGAACAAGATGGGTAACAGTTGGTAATCAGTCACATCTGACTCTCAAGGTCAACACCCAGGTTGTTATGGGGCAGCTTCTTAGCTGTTGTTACACCTTGGAATCAAAAATGAACTCAACCCCTCAGGATCAGCACATCTCAAGTTCACTCCTTATAATGAGTGTAAATAAAACAGAAGCCCACCTGGGAACAACCCACAGTAGGACCGGTTGTCACAAAACGCTAGGAGGGTGGAGGCCAAGCTGGGGTGGGCGTGGGGGTCTCTGGGATGAGTGTCACCGGGCCGAGGTGCAGGGGTGGGAGGTGGGGGGAGCTGCACTAGCTGGGAAGGAAGAGGAGAAAGCAGGTCCCTGAGTTACTGTGTGGAGGAGAGGCCCACTGACCAGAACTAACTCTCAGAGCGAGAAAGAACATGTGTTAAGCCACTCGGATTTCAGGGTTTGCCTGTTGTGGTAAGAAGCACTGTTTGCCTTAATACTGACTGAAAAATCCTTTCGCTGTGGTAGTTACTAGACTAAGATGGGCACCTCCTGAAAGCCTGCCAAGACCATTCAGACAGGAAGGAGACCGGAACACGGCGGGGTGGGAGCCAGCGGGGAGGAAGGCGGGGGCAGCAAAGCAGGGTGGGGTGCGCGAGTGTGTGCACACACCTGGGCACACAGCAGGGCGGCGGCGGAGGATGCAGGTGTGTGAACCCCACTCCCCCCCATTGCCGTGGTCGTACAAGCCGCAATTTGCCATCAGCGGAATAGCGGATGAGGGGCAGTACTTGGCACGACACTAACACTGATAGCTGACCCCTTTGTTATTTCATCTGTACCTAGTAATTTATGAAAATATATTCTAAGTTGAATGAATGTAAACAAAAAGTTGAAATTATGTTTGAAATTGTAAATGTAAAAGTACTTTGAAACTAATGAGTTTTAAAAATTGCCAAAATTACCAAAGCTTTTAGGACTTACTTCAAATTTGGCAGCATTTAACATACCCAGGTGGAGCCTTGTGCTATGGGGGTAGGGCTTCCTGATAACTTCCTCAGCCAGGCTGGTTGCAAATGGGATGGTTGTTAAAGGGCTTTATGTTTTTTTCTCCTTAAAATAAAAACACAAAATCTTGATTAAAAAAACTTTTTTTTGACTTCTCTTTTTGGCAGACCAGATAACTGAACAGCCTCCTGTAAAATGTTGGATGAAAACAGCAAACCCCTTTGAACTGTACAGGTGAGCCCAAGCAAGCTCAGGAAAGCATGCTGGGAAACTGCCCTAGGGCAAGGACGGGTAGGCGTGGGTGGGACCCAGTGCCCAGGGTGGGTTTTCACACACATGGGACAGACTTGGTCCGGGCAAAGGGTGCAGCCTCAGTCAAGAGTGGACCAGGGAAGACCAACAACAATACTCCCAAAAGCAGTTTCTACCAGGTCCTGGGAGCCGCGGGTCAGGGAAGGAGCTCCCAGAAACTCATCGCTGGGGTCCTGCATTTCACTTGGGACTAATCCCTCCTCAGCCTAGAAGCTCTCACTGAAACCTTTTGGCAGAAGCACCCCCAAGCATACTTGTAGGGAAGACCCCCAGCCTTGGCAGGAGTGAAGAGCGGGGTGCAGCGGCTTGTCCTCATCTCTTCTGGGAGAACAGAGATCTTGATTCCCTCTAACTTTGACTTTGTTAATACACATGTTAATGATGGCCACTGAAGAACAGAAGCAGAAATGTAACTTCCAAGCAAATGGGGGAAGGAACAGAGAAAACACAGGCAATCCCATAGCAACACAGGGAAGGAGAAAAATACCAGAGGATCTGTGTAACTAGAGACACAAGAAGTGGAAACATTCAAATATACCAATTATCAGAGCACAAGTACGTGGGCTGTAAAACAGCCAAACATTGAGGGAACCGGGATGGTCAGGTGTGCAGTGGTTTGCAGATGTCTGGTCAGGGCCATAGAAAGTTGATGGGGCAAGATAATATCAGACTAAGTGGGCTTTATGTCAAAAGCACTCAGTTATTTCGTAAAATGCTAAATGCAGAAGCCATGAAGAAAAAGACGTTTGCTGTGCTAAAACTTTAAACTCTTGTGTGGTATTTTAGAAAATCTTTAAATGAAAAGAAAAACCGCGAATGGAGATAATCTGCACCTGAGGACATGCTGCTACCCTGACATAAAGAGAACGTGCCCGGGCCAACCAGACGGGCACAGGAGTGCGGGAGGGACCGGAAGGGGCCCGAGCAGCCCTCCAGGCTGGAGACCAGACCGGTGGTGCCTCCTTGTGTCCTTAGGACGGCCTTGGGGGCCTCTCCTGCCCTGCGGGCCGCGTGACCCTCAGACTGCAGCCCAGGGTGGTTCCCACGTGGGGCTCTGCTCTATCCTCTCTCACCGGGCCTATCTGTGACCCAGTCCCTCCCTTCCCTTGCCCTCTGGCTCCTAGCCTAACCCCGGCCCTGCAGGCCGCTGTTCCTGTGACTCTCAGTGTGGCCTTGGTCACCTGGGCTACCCTGCCCCTGTCTGTCTGTGCAGTGCTGGTGCCCTGCCTTACAGAACTTGGGTGGTTCTGTGGTCCTGTGTCTGCACCCTGCCCGTGTGCACATGCAGGGGTGTCCGCTCTGGCACAGCGCTGATCTCTGTTTTTCTTCCCTTGCCGTGTCCCCGGCACTGTCACAGGCCTGGCATTTGGCTGGTGGAATAAAGGAAGGAGGAAGTGCACAAAACAGCCAACTACCATTTGGAACTACCATTCCAAAACCAGTGTGTCGAGGTGCAGCAACAAGGGGCCTGGTGGGGGCTGGTGGGGGCTGCTGTGGACTGATGTCCCCTCAGACTTCATACGCTGAGACCCGCCCTGCTGGGCCACAGGGAGGGGATCAGTGCCCTAAACAATGAGACCACACACAGCCCCCCCCGCCTCTTCCTCCACGTGAGCGCACAGCGAGGTCATGAATCTTCGCCTGACACGTCGCATCCGAATCACAAACCTGCACACACACATGCACACGCATACACGTGCACACACCCACGGGGACTGGGGTCTGCTCCCTACAGGACAGATCAAGTCTGAGGGACCCTAGAGGCACCCAGGAAGTGGTGCAATGATGGGTGGGAGGGGGCTGGTGGGTGGAGGGAGGGAGCTCCGCTTAGGCCATAGCACGTGCAAGGCCGAGCGCTCAGCCTCCCGCCTGCCGCTTTGGGCCCTGGCATGTTTTGCTCCCTTTTAGTTTTGCCTCCTCTCCGGTGGTTAGGGGCGTCTTGGGAGGGGATTAACCCACACGCACCAACGGGAATACAGTTCCTTCATCTGGAAAATCAAGTGGACATTTCTGTTTGTGGTAAACATGAAATAATGTGATTTATTTTATATCAATATTGCATACTGAATACAAACCATAGTTTCAGGAATATATTTGAAAGCTGTTTCTAAAGGCACTGAGAAAACAGTATGAAAAGCTACATTATAATATTTCCATTTTTAAAAATTCAGCAAGTCAGTCTAGATATTAAAAACTCTTCTCCTCCAGTAGAACTATAAAAATATACAATTTGTGTTCATCTCCTGTCCATCCACTCTCACGTTATATTTGATTTTACTATTTTTTCAGCTATGTAAACAAAAGCTGCGACACACAGAAAACCCTAACCCTGGAATCGGTACTGGTAATGACATTTCAAAGAGGAAGTGACCGTGTCTGCACCTCCCACATGCCATCATCTTCCCACGTGATGTTTCAGGAAGGGCGTGGCTGTGAAATCACGAAAGTGCTGACTCATGGACATTCTGCTGGTGTTGACCTAGGAGAGGAGGGAACCTGGGCCTGGAGCGTTCAAGGCCCCATGTGTGTGATGGGCATCTCCAGAACACAAGACCCGCAGAGCTGACTTCAGGTGCCAGACTGTCCACAAAGCAGGACATGTCCAGCTGCAAACTGCAGGGGTCAGGACGAGGACTCGTGCATCTGACCGCCTGGGGAGGGGGCAGCATGGGTGCTGTGGCCCTCGTGAGCAGGTGTGACTGTGTGCGCTTCAGAACAGCGTCTTGCCTGAGGCTCTCACCTGCCACTCCTCTCTGGTTACTCCGGGGCTTGGCTATGGTGCACAAACATGCCATGATGTCTCTGAATTCCACCTTTTCAGTCCTGTGGTTTCTGAGGTACATGTTACATGCATGCAGTGCTGCCTGCCTACTGCACCCTGGGATGGAGGAGTGCAGGCATCACTCTTCGGGGAGCCCTAGTCATCTCTGGACATCGGTCAGTGGCCAGCCTGGGCCCCATGTGTGGCTTCTCCATTGATGAAGTGAGAAGGTCAGTGACCTCACGGACGGGGACCCCAGAGAGGTGCACAGTCACATTGGAGAGACGGCCAGGACCTGGGCCCTGGGTTGGACTAGGAAAGAAGGAAGAAGATTCTGAAACTCCACCCCATGTCTCAGGGAGTAAATCAACAGAGGCCCAGAGAGCAGAGGTGAGCTGTGCCCGGCAGGAGAACCAGGTGAGGAGGGCCTGGGGCCAGCCAGAGGTCCCCAGGTGTCCCCGGGTGGTTGTGCCACCACCGTAGCAATCGGGGGAGGCTCTGGCAGTAGACGTGGAGACAGCACAGCACCAATGTCACCCTTTGCAAGGCCTCAGTGGGGTGAGGAGAGGCTGCTGGGCTGGCCTTGCGGGTCTCAGGGGGCCACCCATTGACCACGCCATGCCCTGGGCTCCAGAGGGTGACCTTCTGTGTCAGTCCCAGGAAGAGGCCCTCTGCTCCCACCATCCTACATGGGGGGCCTCCACAAAGCTGGCAGCTGGTGCACGGGTGCCCCAGGATGTGCCTAAAGGTCCTGCCAGCTGAACCCCAAGTTCTGACGAGGCGAGTGTGCACTTGCCACACGGCTTTAGCACTAACCCAGCTGAACACCGATACTCCAGAGCCCCAGGTGACGGAGGGGAAGGCCCCACACTGAAAGGTAGATTGTACCAATGGTGGAGCAGCAAGTCCCCACCCAGAAGCTCCCGCCACCTCCTGAGACTCCCAGGTGGGGGTGACTTTAGGAACAGATGCCCTGTCCCCGGGAGCAGGAGTGTGCCCACCACCGTATAAGCAGGCACAGTGGTGACCTTCGTACCCTGATGGCACACCCTGCACTGGCAGCGAGTGGAAGGGTCCATCTCTGGTGGTGCCTATGGGCAACCTCCACTTTCTGACTCATGCCTTTGTATCCAGCTTTCCTGTAGTCAGAATGTATGACTTTACAGTTTTTCTAGAAAACGATTTCTCTGTCTTCTCTTTAATGATTCTTCCTGAGGTGGTGACTGGCGTTCCCATTTGAAAACCTGGATACAGCAACACAGCCTTCATGGACAACTTGACTTTCTACTTCTTTTCTCTATGTTTTGTCCTTCTCTCTGCTTCCAAACCCAGACTCTATAAACTCAAAGTTACAGGATGTGCTGGAGACAGACTGGCATAAACCATCTTCAGAGGCCCATTAAAAATCCCAGAAACTTCCACAAGGAACAGGATATTATCCTGCCAATTTCCACTGGGTGTGGCCTCAAACTCTGCTGTGAGGTTGAGGAGCACAGGCTGTATGTAGTAGTGAGGATGGGACCCAGTGCAGACAGGCTTTTTTGCCTGGAACCTTCCAGATTCCTTCCGTGAATGGGGGCATAGTCACCTGTGGCTCAAAAGATTATATCTCTAATTTGTACCTAGGATGTGGCTGCTCCCTTCAGTCCACTCCATGGAGGCATCAACCCATGTCCATGGTGCAGGCAAAGCTGGGAGGTGGGCATGGGGAGCGCAGGAGACCACACCAGATGATTGCCAAGTGGCTGGGTGCCCACCGCGTCCCGGAGAGTGGGGTATGCCCTTCCAACCTGACATGTCTCACTCTGGCCACTTTCTGAAAAATTGTGAACAGACTTAATACTACTTGGCATTTAAGGACTTGTGTGACATTTTATAAAATACACAGTACACGATTGCACACACTGCCCACACCTAACAGAGGGCTGAGCCCAGGCAGCTTTGCCGAGCATCACTTAGGAACGGCTCTGGTCCTAACCCTGCCATCGCCGCTGAGGGGTAAGTCTGAGCATGCGCAGAAGCTAGCCTTTAGAAACACCCACTCTATGGCAGGAAAGCACACTCGGGTGCTTTGGGAGGCATCAGTGTTGGCAAGGCACTTTTGGGGAACATGCTGGGCACCCCACCCTGGCTGTGACTTGCCCATGGGGGTGAGTCCAGGGGCTCTCGCTTGACAACAGGTGTGGTCGCAGGAGCTCTGCAGTCACAGCCCAGTTTAGGGGGCTGGTGACCGTGTGCACAGAGGTGGCGGGCAGGATCTGGCTCGGGAAGGCCATGCACGTGCTCCAGGCAGGCACAGTGTGTGGGGTGGAAGGGGGCCAGCTCCTTGCCAGGTCTGAGTGGAGCCCTGCCACTCGGGTGAGCCCCCAGCATGCTGTGCCCCAGGTGTGGAGCATACAGGTGGTGTCTGGAGTCTGACTCTGTTTTCAGGTGCATCCTGGTAGGGAAAGTGACCAGCTGTCTCTTGGCCACACCACTGGCTCCCAGCCACACCTGGCTTGGGGACACGGAGTAGCCGTCTGTTGCATCCTCAGGCCCAGAGTCGTTCTCCATCTTGATGGGCACATCAAGTGACAATAGGGGGTTGCATGGGGCTCCCGAGGGCACTGGCCCCCCTCGAAACTTGGCGTCCTCGGTGGAATAGCCCCCTGCTGAGAGACCCTGCCCTCTGAGCGGAGGGAGCCCATTGTCCAGGCTCCCGTGGGGAAAGGGGCAGCTGGGCGGAGGGTGCATCTGGCCCCGGTCGCCGTCCTGCAAGGCTCTGCTCTGGCAGCTGGCATAGGCACTGGGAGAATGGCTTCCTGGGTGACAGCCAGGTGAATTCCTGAAAGCAGTAACCCCACTGCTATGGACAGTGCCCTGGACACCTGGGCGGGACACAGCGTGTATGGAGAACGGGTCACTCTTACTGGGCTCCAGCTTCATCTTGGCGCCACCATCCTGACCAGGTTTCCCTGTCATCCAGCTCAGGTGCTTCATGGGTCCAGGTGCCTCGAAGCAGCAACTATAGGCATGTCTTTCCCTCCGCCCCCTGGCTCCAGGGGCACTGCCAGGCACCTTCCCATGCTCCTCTCCTCCTCTGTCCCTGCAGAGAGGAGATGGCCCATCAGACAGAGCACGGATAGTGATCATCTGGCCCGCTTGGGTGCTGTCTCTAAGGGAATGCACTAAATTGGTATGACACTGGCCGAACCTGCAAGGGCTGCTGTGTGCGGGGCTCAGCCACGCCCCTGCTCTCATCCCACCCAGCAGCCCTGTGGCCCTGGCACCAGCGCCCTCCTGTAACCGCCCCTCCCATGGCCTCCTGATGCCCCGGGTGCTGGGGGGGACCAGAGAGCGGCATGTGCCACTCACCCTGCCCCAGGGATGTAGCTCCATGAGGTATACACTGTGTGTCAATGGTCAGACACACCCATCCCAGATGCAGGGCCCCATCAAGCTGTAAGGCAAATAGATGCCCTCTCTCCAGCAGCTTCTATGAGCCAGGCCCTGTCGCTGGCACTCAGGCCTCCCCCTCACAACACCTTGTGGGATCAGGGCTGGTGCCTGCAGTGACGGGAAACGATGCCCAGGAGGGTGAGGTGGAGCCCCGCAGCTACACAGCCAGGTCAGTCCTCCAAGGGGAGACCCCTGGGCATGGGGGGTGCTGGGAGGGGCCGTGGGAGGAGGCAGTGGAAAGGGTTTCTGGGTGAGGGGAGGGCAGATGACCCTCCCAGATGGTGGCCCACGGTCCAGGCTGCAGGCAGGGGTGAGTCCCAGGTCCTGGCAGCCCCGGCTGGAGCAGCTGTCCCCTGCCACACCTCAGACACGTGAGGACAGCTCCCAGGGTGGGGAGTGTGTTCAGGTGTGCTCCGCGGGCACCTGCCTCGCCGAAGAGTGAGGCTCGCCCGCCATGAACAAAGCCACGAGACCAGCAGCCAGTGGCTCCTTTCTCCCTTAACGTACAGCTAGGCCACAGCACCACTTACCCTGCGGCCCCCTCGGGGTCAGACATGAGGTCCGGGCCGCTCCGGAGGCAGAGGCATGGGGCCCTGGCTGGAACCCGGGCCCAGCAGCCTGCATCCATTTGGGCCTTGAGTACTGAAATGTTTTCTCCAATGTTCCTCCCTGTCAGCATTTAGAGAGGGGAACAGCAGTCACCATGAGCGGCTCAGCACAGACCCCCACACTCTGGGGTGTGCTTCCAGGGAATGCACCCCAGCCTCAGGGGGCAGGGAGAGCCCCCAAGGACACAGACATGTTTCACCCATTAAAACACATGAAATGGTGCATTTGTTAAAGTACCTGCTAAGTAATTGGGTTTTCCATGCAATTCTGGTTCACACAGACTTGTGGCGGCATTTGCTCTGTGAAGGACAGATAATAGAACACACATAGATGAAGTTTTGCTGCTGGTAGGAACTAACGCCATGACCAGCATTACTGTCATGCCCAGGAGGGGAGACACAGCAAAAACTCACAATTTTAATTCTTTCTAGATTGTAAAGTATTTCCTTGGCTAAAAATTCCAATTCACATCACTCATCAAGCCAACAAAGAAAGGGCTAATAAGTTAGCTTCAGAAAATAGACTTACACATAAAATGTGCTATCATTTTTTTCTGGGTGACCAGAACGAAAATACAGTCAATTTTTGTAATTATGTCCCATAAACTCACCATGAACACCCAGTGACTATGAAACACCTTTCCTAGGGCAGTGAGCATGTACGCACACACACACGCACATGCACACACACACACACCACAGAGCTCATAATCTTAGGTTCTAAGCAAACTCATCCTCATAGATACTATTTCATTATTTTCAAAAGAAAAAACAAGCCTCGGAAGTGTTAAGTGACTTCCTTTAGGCCACCTCTCTAGCAGATGTCAGCGTGGAAACTCAAATCCAGGCGAGTAGGCCTGAGAGCCACAGCTCCCTATACTGCATGCTGGTCCCTCTCCATCCTCTGGTCACTTCTGGACAGCAGAGACAGGAGAGCAGAGAACAGGGACCAGAGGCCATGAACCAGAGATGAGGGAGCAGACATGGGGAGCAGAGACGGGGGAGCAGAGCCGGGGGGGGCAGAAATGGGGACATAGAGTGTCATCCTCAATCTGCAAACAAGAGTATCTGGTGACAAATTTTTTGGCACACTGTGCATGTTCACAAATGACTGCTAAATCCCTTGAATACGACTTTGGAGGACAAATATTTTAGTGAGTTGGTGAACTGGCAAATAAAGAAATGTGTGCAGTGGAGAGTGAGGGCTGTCACAAAATCCCTTCAGGAACAGTTGTGAATTCCCGTCATTAAATGACAACCATGGGCCACCTCTCAGGGCCTGTGATTCTCTGGGTGTCCCCCTATACTGTCTTTGAGCTCAGAGGAGACAACTGGGATGGATGTGCTGAACTCAGCTCTTGAATTCAGTTCAGAGCAGGTAGGAATTCCAAAAAACCTAGGAAGCAGAGGCATGGTCTGCTTGTCTCCTAAAATGCTGGGTGGGAGCCAACATTCTGTGCTGGAGCCCTTGTCCTCCCTCCTCTGGCTTTTGATGCTGTCCTGTCTGACGCGATGTCGCGTGCTGCTGGTGCTGTCCTGTGTGCCCGCTGCTCAGGCCTGGGGGCCGCCAGCTGCAGGAGCGCTGGGTGACCTGAGCCACACCTGCCAGCCAGCAGGTGCTCGCTGCTCCGGTGCAGCCAGCCTGCGCTTCCCGGCGTGGGCGCCAGGGGGCGGTAGGAGCCCGCCTCGCACACTGACCAGCGTGAAAAGCCAAGGGAGGCTAAGGTTTTCCCTCTACCTTGGTTTCAGGGCTGGAAAAACATGGAAAAGAGGAAGCTCGGTGTGAGTTTCAATTACGACAATCAAGCCAAAAACAGGTTAAAAAGAGAAAACTCTGGGACCATGAATGAAGTGGGGAGTATTTCAGAGTGAGGGGCCGGCAGGGAGGAGAGGGACAGCGGGAAAGCAGGCGTGGAGACCGGCAGCCTCTGCTCAGGCAGGTCCAGGCCATCCCAGGCGGCACCCCCTGTGGCTTGGCACCTTCCTGCCTCGCCTGTTCTTAGTCTTCTCCCTTGGGTGGGGCATGTTTAGGACATGTTGTATCGTTAAGAGGGCATATACGTTTATTTTCAAACGTTCCAGTAAACCGCTGTCTCGGCGTGCGGCCGTTGCTCGCGGCGGCTCTGGTCCTGGCCCTGCACGTGAGACGAGCAGCAGCGAGTGGGGGCCCACGAGCTGCAGGCCGAGGCAGCCCGGGCCGCAGGGGCAGGGGGAGAGCCCCCCACAATGGGGGCCCCCCTTCCACGGCAGCTGCCATCAGATTTTCTCACTGTCTAAAGGGCAGCTTGAATTAGTCAAAGGTTATTCGCGGACACTGAAGAGGGACGGACACTCACACCCACGAGAGGGAGAGTCACAGAGGAGACGCCTGGCACTCCCTCCCGTGCCGGGGCTGCATGGGCAGGCGAGCAGGAGCCCCCTGGACGGGGCCACAGAGCCCTGGGCCTCCTTCTGGATGGGACCAGTTGTGGGGGAGGCGCTTGGTCACAGGCTTTTCATCTGGACGTCGGCAGATGTGTAAGTAGGACCTTCCTACAGGACTCAGGGGACCCTGGTGGATGCAGTGTTTCCACTGGCGATGTGGCCTCCAGCACAGAGGCACACTCACCACACAAAAGTGATGGACGGAGGGAGGCAAGCAAACGTGTCAGACGCTGGTGTCACAGAACTAAACCTCATCTGAGGGCTGAGGGGTTTGGACGAGCCCCCGTTCTGCACTCAGACCCTCCCCATCAGGCAGTGGTTTGAGGGACTGATACGTTCCCTGGGGAGGCACCAGGACCTGTGAAGCCAGACATTCTCGGGCAGAAGCGGGGGAGGTCGCGGGCTGTGCACCTGCCTCCTCAAAGGGTCCAACAAGGGGTTAACGGGTAGGATCTGAGGCTGAGGTTTTCCCTATCGGTGGGAAACAGGAGCGGGGACAGGGGCTTCCTGGAGGAGGACATGCCAGGTCTGGCCAGCATGCACAGCGTCACAGGCAGGATGCAAAGCCCACAGCGACGGCATGCTGGCGAGGAGGGTGCAGAGAAAGGCTCCCTCCTGGGGCAAGGGCCCCGTGGCCCCGGCGGGAGGGCTTTGCTGCGGGAAAGCTATACTGGTTTGATTTAAATCAATCTGAGAGCCTACCTAGCCCTACTCCAAGTGATTTGTTCTCAGCCCTGGGGGGTCTTAGCCGATGCACCCCTGCAGCTGGGGAGCTGCTGGCTTGGCTGAGCCCCACTCTAGGGACAGTCAGTGAGGGACAGAGAAGCGGGTTGGGGGCTCAGAAGTCTGGCATATCGCATCTGTCGCTGGTACAGTCAGATCTCAGACATCCTGCCTCCCCTCCCCTGCCCTTGGTCTTACTCGTACTGCGTGGAAAACATAATTCACAGATCACTCTCAGGGCACTGAATCACAAAACACACACCTAATCTGTTCCAAAGTATAGATGTAAATCACCTAGAAAACTCAGTACAGTGTTTTCGAGCACTGAAAAGCTGAGAAAACTCAGCTGGGCTGAAGGGACAGCCATGTCCCCACTACCGTGGCACCCCTGCCTCCTGCATCCATCCCTGCACTGAGCCCTGTGTGTGGAGGGAGGGACAGCACAGAGGAGAGAAGGCTGTGGCCCCTGGCTGCTGACCCCATGATGACCAGGGCTCAGGGCACCTGCTTTGAGTCTGTCACTGGGGGATTAGGGACCCAGTGATGTGGTGCCACCGTTCATAAATACTGATTTGAAAGCATGTTTCTCTGCACATTCTTTCCTACATAATGTACTAGCTTCAAAATCACCAACCTTCTCATGTCACTGCTTGCTGGGAATGAAGAAAGAATAGACAGAAAATTCTAGGTGCCAAGGCTCTTGTAGCCACTGGCAGCAGTGAGTGTGGCTGCATTTTAAAGGGACTTTCACTCACTTTGTGTCCATCGAGGCTGAGATGTCCAGCCTGTGCTTCACCCTCAGAAACGCACTCTTCATTTTCATCTCTGCCACGGAAGGAAGGAGGACGGGCACCACGATGCAGAACAGTGACAGCCGAGGGGGCAGGGCTGTCCCTGACGGAGTCTTCCTCTTCTGTCCAAACAGGAATTTTAGTCTTCCTTGAAACTGCATTGTCTGGTGTGTTAAAGACAGAAACGAAGGCGGGTTCACAGAGCAAATGAGCAACGCCATCAGAGAATGCAGGGCCTGTGTTCTCAGGAATAGGAATGTGGAGAAAAATCTTATCCTGAGCCACTAAGGAGACACAAACCAACAGTTCTTCCACGCTTGGCCTCCGGGACATGGGCTATCCCAGGCCTCCGGGACGAGCCACAGTTTCTCTGCAGTCTCCGTCATCTCCTTTAACTGAAAAGCATGCTCTTGTGTGCACACTCGTGTGTACGTGAGGGTGCGGGTGTGGGAGCTGAGCCTCACGCTCTGCGCGCTCGTGTGCTTCAACATGAGCTGTCACTGGCCCACGGCAGCGCCGTCAGCCTCCCCGGACAGGACATGCTGGAGCAGGTCATCTCTGAGGGCTGTTCCAGATTTGACTCTCCGTTTCAGAACTGTCCTTCCTTCACTCGTGATGATAAAGCTTGGGGACAACTTTATTTTATCCAGAGTATACAGTGTGAGTTAAATAGCCAACAAGTCATTTAGAAGTTTGTGATAAAATAAAAGATCCTTCTACAGTGGAAAAGCTGATCTAAATTACTAAGTGACCTCAGGGCACCCCTGCTCTTGATGATAGAATGACCCCACAGGGCATCTGGGTGGCTCGGTCTATTGTTTGAGTGTCTGACTCTTGATTTAGGCTCAGGTCATGATCTCACGGTTTGTGAGCTTAAGCCCTGGGTCAGGCTTTGTGCAGAGCGTGGAGCCTGTTTGGGACTCTCTCTCTCCCTCTCCCTCTGCCCCTCCCCTGATCATGTTCTCTCTCTTTCAAAGTAAATATACGTTTGTTTTTAAAACAACAACCCCACAATGTGGCCTTTTCTCCCTGCCTCTCCACCCTCTCCTCATCCCTCCCCACATCCACCCATCTACCATCCAACATCCATCCATCCACCCACCCTCCCACCCATCCATCTACCATCCACTGTCCATCCATCCACCCACCCATCCATCCATCCACCATCCATCCATCCATCCACCATCCACCATCCATCCACCTATCCCTCCATCCACCCACCCACCCATCCATCTACCATCCACTGTCCATCCATCCACCCACCCACCCATCCATCTACCGTCCACTGTCCATCCATCCATCCACCTATCCATCCATCCACCATCCATCCATCCACCCACCCACCCATCCATCTACCGTCCACTGTCTATGCATCCACCCACCTATCCATCCATCCACCATCCATCCATCCACCCACCCACCCATCCATCTACCGTCCACTGTCCATCCATCCAACCACCTATCCATCCATCCACCATCCATCCATCCACCCACCCACCCATCCATCTACCATCCACCACCCACTTATCCATCCATCCACCCACCTATCCACCCACCCACCCATCTACCATCCACCGTTCATCCATCCACCCACCCACCCATCCATCTACCATCCACTGTCCATCCATCCACTGTCCGTCCATCCACCCACCTATCCATCCATCTACCATCCATCCATCCATCCAACCACCTATCCATCCACCTTCCACCCTTCTATCCCTCCATCAATCCATTTTCCCCCATCCATCTCCCCATCTTCCCATCATCCATCTGTCTATGGATTTACTAAAGGAACAAACATTTGCAAAGCACCTACTACTTGCTAGTCACATGCATGGTGTGGAGGATTCAAGGTAGTTGTGTGCTGGGATATGTCCAACATCCAGCTCTCCAGAGAAAAAAAAGCCCTAATTTGTTATGTTTGCCAATTTCTTTGGTGGAACTATTCCCATCCTAGTTGATTTCAACCTATTGACTAAATGTCAACTGGACCTCCAAATTCCTCATGTTGTAACACTGCGCTCTCATGGGCGGCCTGAGCCTGTGGAAACAGTGGCTTCCACAGAGTCACAGGGGAGTGCTGGGAAGAGCCATAAGTCATGCCCACTCCCCTGTTCTCAGTGCATTCCCTGTGAATGTCTTTGGCTTGTTTCCTGTATTCAGCTCATCGTTTTATAGTTTCATTTTAACCTATATTTTAATTTCTCATAATTGTCTAGTAAAATCCCTCCAATTTTATGTCATCTGGAAACAGATTTTCCAATTTACCAGGAATTGGTTATCCCATTTAAAAAAGTGAACATTCCTTATCAGCCAATAAATAGTAACTATATTAGTTTCCACCAAATTTAGAGCAAAATATTATCAAAATAAAAGACTTTATGGTTAACGAGTCACCTAAATAAAAGACGAGCAGTTACACATATGCCTGGTGACAACAGATCTGGGACTGTGGTGCAAATACAAAGCTGCTCTCTTGTGAAGGTCCTGGTTGGGATGGAAAGGGCTGTAGAAATACGCAGTTGTATGGGATGCCTCAACCCTAGGGCTGGGCCTGTTCTGGATCCTCAGAGAGCTGGTTCCAGAAACATTCCCACCACCAACCACCAGCATCCTTCTTCACTGTTCCCTTGGATCAGGAGCACAAATCCAGGACACACGAAACTGTCATCACACTACTGGATGACTGAGGCCAAAATATTGCCATAAATGACACATGGTCACCGGGAGGCATCCTGGAGCGATTCCCTAAGCTGTCATCCCTCTGAGCAAATGCAGAGCAACCTGGCAGGTCGGGTACCCTGAATGGGTGATGTGGGACTTCGGAAGTGCAGCATCTTTGGTGAGAGGGCCTCTAATTTGGAGAAGGGTCAGCCCTGTGAGGCTCAGGGAGAAGCACATCTGGAGGCAGAGGGCGTCCTGAGCCCTGGGGAGAGTCCCCAAGAACAGCACAAGTTCAGCTCACTCGTGGTGGTCAGGGCAGCACAGAAAGTCGGGGAGGCTGGGCAAAGAGAGCTTCAGGAAGGACATTATTGGGGTGCTGACATCTGGAAAGGGGCCTGAGTGACCCCAGGGAGGCCATTTTTATTTTCTCTGCTCTTCGGAAATAATCAGTTAGTGTTATGTACGAGTGATGCTTTTACTTAAAACAAAAAAAATAAAAATGAAAATAAAAATAAAAAACCACCACCACCACCATCAACAACCTGTTAATGCAAACAGAGCAGTCAGCAGGAGAGGGGTACGGAAAGCGCTGCCTGCCTCTCTGAGCCCAGCCTGTGACGGGCAGCGGGTCGCTGTCCCAGGAGCCAGGGGCCCACAGGCCGCTCAGGTGGTGACGGCCGAGCACAGAGCGCCGAGGACCTGGGGCTTACGGTCCGCACCGCGGTGCACACAGCAGGCCCCAGGCTGGAAAGGGCAGATGTGAAGACCCTGGAGAGAAGCTCCCAGGAGGCGGGACAGGCCAGCAGGCAGGACCCCCAAGGGCTGGTGTTGACAGGTGAGGGCCGGGGCGGGCTCGCGCTGGTCTGCGGGTGCCTCTCCAGGGCTCCCTCTCTTCAGGGCCGTTTGGAAGACAACCCGGAGGAGCGCCCGCTGGCCTCTGCTCACTCGCCTCGCGCACAGGCTGAGCCCCGCGGACGTCCCCCGCCCGGCCCCGGGTGGGGAGACAGGCCCGGGGGCGCTGGGGGGCCGCGGGGATGGAGGGCAGAGGTGCGGGCGGGCTGGGGTCCGCGGCTCCCCTCTCACCTCCTCGCGGAGGGGCGGGAAGAGCAGCGGGAAACCGACACCCCAAGCCCCGACTTGGAGCAGAGGGGAGAGCGGAAAGCCCGGGCCGAAGCGGGGGCTCGCGCCAGGCCGTGGGGTGTGGCTGCGGGCACGTCGCGAAGGGGTGTAAGGGCAGGTGCGACCAAGTAAAACCCAGCGCGGGGGTCTCGAGGCTCCAGCAGGGCGCGTCCCCCCCCCCCCCCCCCCCCCCCCCCCCCCCCCCCCCCCCCCCCCCCCCCCCCCCCCCCGCCCCCCCCCCCCCGCGGCCGGGGCGCACTCACCAGGAAGCCCGAGGTGCTGTCCAGCAGGCAGCGCACGCGGCACACGAAGCAGCGCGTCAGGAAGGCCGAGAAGTCCGCCTCGGGGCGCGCGCCCGCCTCCTGCGCCCGGAGCAGCCGCCCCAGCACGGCGTCGTCTGCGCGGGGGCGGGGCGCGGGGGGGGCACCGGGGTGGGGGTGCGTTGGGGGGGCGCGTTGGGGGGGCGCGTTGGGGGGGCGCGGGGCGAGAGAGAGAGGAGAGAGACTGTAAACCCGGTGACTGGTCGTGCTGACAGCAGCGGGGCGTGTGCACACGCGCTCCCCCAACACACCCGTCCACACACAGCCCAACTCACACCCCCCAACCCTCACACAAACTTGTTCACACACACACACACCCCACACATACTTCCACACACAGCCTCTCACACCACCACACACACACTGGCCCACACCCCCCAACTCTCACACACACACCCCACCACACGCACACACACACCACCACATACACATCTCCACATACACCCCAACTCTCACACACACATCCCACCACACACACACATACCTCTGCACACACCCCAACTCACACACATGTCCACAGTCGGCCTCACACACACACAGCCCACCACACACACAAACCCCAACACACACATACATGAGGTGTGCACACATGCCTGCCTGCCCTGTGTGCGCGCATATACACCCTGCCTCACACACACACACACACACACACACACACACACAGCCTCATATACCCACACCCCAGTTCACACCCATATACACACCCCAGCTCACACACACCTCCCACCAGACTCCCACACACCGCACCACACACACCCTGCCACACATACACTCATACACGTACCTGCCCGCCGTGCATCCCCACGCCCACCCCCTCCGTACAAATGCCCTCTCTACACACACCTGCCCCCCACATGCATACACACACGCCTGCCACACACCCTCACGACGGCCCCGTCCTTTGCAAGCACACACATATGCACGAGTGCTCCACTGAGCACCGCTGGCGTCTCTCCGCATGCTCCCCACCCACCCTGGTCCTCACAGAGACAGCCACCCTCACAGGTCTCGCCTTCGTTGTCATTTCAGTACAACTGCGCCTGTGACCACGGATCAGCTGTCTAGTTATGTGTGTTTTGAGCTTTATAAAACAGTGTTGTGTGTTGGCACCTGGGTTTTTTTTTTTCACTCAACTTTGTGAGGTAAATCCTGCTATTGCCTGAGGTTGTGGTAGAAGCTTTTCCTGAATTGTTTACAGCTTCTGGGGAAGTGTGTGGAAGAGCTGGGACCCCGTGGACATCACCCCTTCCCCTCGAGCTCCACCGCCTCTCGGGGAGACACAGGTCTGCCACACGTGTCGTGACGGGTCAGGGGCCACGGCTCTGGAGGAAATGCTTGCCCACAAGGGGCAATGTGTCTGAACAGGCAACAATCTTTGGGCCTTTTTACAGGTAAATCTAATGTGGGCCAGAGGGTTTCCTGGAAGCCGTGCGTCTCGAGGGGGGTTTTGCAAAGTGAGAGACAAGTTCTGCCTCGTCTTGTGGGCGGTCTCATGCGCCAGCCAAGCCAGACAGTGGGGGCCCCTGGAGAGGCGAGGAGGATGCGGGAGGGGGTCTCCGAACGAGAGGACGCAGGCACCGCATTCAGCGTGAAGCAGAGCAGGACCAGAAAGCATGGTGGTAATTTCTAAGGAGGCTTCCACGAGTTTCCATAAACTGTTCCAAGTCTCAGGCTCACCGGGGACCCGAAGACCCACCTGTCTGTGAGTGTGGGGGCTGCCCAAACACTGCCTGGGGAGGGTCCATGGCCCAGTGGAGCTGCCGGCAGAAATCCTGACGGTCGTCCACGTGGATATAGTCATAAATGTTTTGGTGCATCACGTCCGTCTGCAATATTGCAACAGTTGTTTTAACCTAGTGAACCTGCGTGCTTTCGTCCAGAGGTTAATAACTGCAAACTGTCTCAGTTGCAGCTGTGAAGAGAAGTCTCATGGGAAAGTGCCTGCAGGACACTTCCTCCCGGCGAGGACACAGCTGTCCAACCTGGAATGCCAGGCCTCTGACTCATGCGAGCCCCCCGCCCCGCCCCAACCCCCGCCACCCACCAGGCGGTGCCCTCGAGGGCAGAGAAGGAGGCTCAGGGAGCAAACACCTTCTGGGGCCAGGATACCCACTTTCTCCAGGACTCGGAGAACTCATTAAGCTGTGTGTCTATGATGTGGTCACTTTTTGTCCTGTCACAAAAGTTTATTAGGAAAGTGACCCTAAGAAGTGAGGGGGGAACCGCCAGATGAGACCAGAGCCATTTGGTGAGACGGGAGCTGCCAGGTGAGCTGGGGGTCAGCACACGAGAGCCCAGCCGGGCCTCCTGGCCAGAGACCTCCTTCATCCTGGCGCCTCTAGGCCTGGCCGCTGCTCCCATCCACGATACCATAAGGACCTGCAGGCCCCCAGCCTCTGTCTGCTCCTCTGTCTTCCTACCTACTTGAGCCCTGAGTGCAGAGGCTAGCCCTCGAAGGCACCGGGTCCAGGTTGGGAAGCTGCTTTTCGGGGCACTGCGACAACTGTTAGCAGACGTATTCTGAGTGTGTTGATAAATGATGAAGGCCACGCAATCTCCCGGTTACCTTCCCCTAACTGAAGGGCGTCACTCGTTATCCGCATGGAGAACCTGGCCCAACAACACCTGAATAACCTGCCTGGTGCCCTTGGCCATCTCTTTGGAACGAGCCATTTCTAAGTTTGCATCATTTCTCAACAGGATCATTATGATAACTAGATGGAGGGAAAGGCCCTGAACAACTGAGTCCAGAAATAAGTCTACTTTTTAAGAAAGTAACTAGTGTACTCACCCAGACTGGATGAGACCCACTATCTTTTCAAGGGGCCTCCTCCTGCCCGTAGCTGCATGGCTAAGGCTCACTGGGATCCCTAAATGTCAACAAGACACAACCGCAGGCAGGGAGAAAAGGAACACGATCATAACTCGAAGGCTGGACTGCAATTACCTGTGCCCTCCTTAGTCCAAAGAGATGCTTTCAGAGAAACAAGCGGTCACAGAGAGGTCAGAATGCTTGTTGTCCTTGGTCATTGTTGTCCATGGTCAGAGGCTCTGGATGTCAACTTGGGGCAAACAGGCAGAGACCAGCTCATGGCGGAGGTGAGTGCACCAGGCTCTCCCTCCAGCTCAAGCGCTCCACTCACCTGCCAGCTCCCACCTCACCTGGTGGCCCTGTGATCGTGCGTGCCCTTCACATGGCGTGCTTTCCTAATAAACTTCTGTGCTTCAGTCTAACATTTGGCTGAAAAGTGCCCAGATCACAAGCGTACAGAGTGATGAGTGAGTTCCTGGATCAGGAAACAGGACACAACAGCTTGTCAGAGCCCCTTCCCTCCATCCCCGTGGGGGCGGCCGTGGCACAGACTACCCACGCGGTAGGCTGGTGATGTTTGTACGTGGAATACTGTTCTCCAGTGTCTGTGCTCTGTTGTTGAACATCACTGTTGTAACATGCACCCACGCCATGTGTATGGTGGCAGTTTCTCGCCCCCATTGGGGGACTATTTCCTCCACCTGATTAATCCACTTGGCCCCTTCCACACGCCACTGCTGTGTCTGAGTGAGTCTCTTCTGGGCTCATACTCGGGGGTGGGGTTCCTGGATCGGGGTGGCAGAGGGCCAGCATTAGCAGGTAACACCAAGCGGCCTTCCAGAGTGAGTGCACAAATACACATGCCACCGCAGTGGAGCAGTGCCAGTCGAGTCGCTTCGCATTCTGGCCGACACGAGGCATTCCCGGCCTTCCTCATCTGGGCCGCTGTGGTGGCTGTCACGGGGCCTCGCTGTGATCTTAGTCTGTACATCATGAACTGACGAAATCATGCATCTCACGTAGTGTCTGGTCTTCAGGTGTGAGTATGAGCACACATAGTGCGTTATGTGGGTGTGTGCGTGTCGCCTGTTTGTGTTCTTCTCTCAAGTTTCCATTGAGCTCTCTTGCTGACTTGGTTCTTCATCTGCTCCGGATCTGGGTCCTCTGCTGGGCTGTGTGGCCAGCATCACTACTCCCTGGCCTGCCTTTCTCCTCTCTTAGTGGATCTAACACACCCAATTCATCTGTCTTTCCTCACTCATCATTCCTCATCGTCTCCTAACTGGATTCTGAAGCTTCTAGAAACTTCTGCCATTACCTGATATTTATTGTGCATGGTGTGAGGTAAGAGCCAAGATTCATTTCTTTTTAAGTTTTTTAAAATGTATTTATTTATTCTTGAGACAGAGAGAGAGAGAGAGAGAGAGAGTGCACAAGCAGGGGAGGGGCAGAGAAAGAGAATCCCAAGCAGGCTCCACGCTGACAGCACAGAGCCCATTGTGGGGCTCAAACTCATGAACCATGAGATCATGACCGGAGCCAAAATCAAGACTGACCAAGCCACCCAGGCGCCCCCAGGATTCATTTCTTTCCCACGTGGATCCAGTTCACTCAGCTCTGTTTGTTGACAAGACCACTATTTCCCCACCGCCAGCAGTGCCTCCTTTATTTTAAATCTCACACCAGTGCACACGTGTCTGCTCTGAGTTTCCAGTTCCGTCTCGTGGGTCTGTTCATCTAGCAACGGGGTTCTACAGGAGTTTCTGTGTCTTGCGTGTAAATCCCCAGTAATCACCACTCCTGCCCCCTTGCCCTGGACAGTCCCAACTCTCTGCACCCCCAAAGCTTGTCCATCTCTACCTAGCAAAGCTGCTCAGTTTTATGATAATGTCATTATCTCTCTAACATGATCTGACATCTTTATAAGGATAACTGGAGTCCTCTGATTCATGAATATGGCATACTGTTCTGTTTATCTGGTTCTTCTTTAATTTCTATAAATAATGTTTTATATTTTCTGTGTGAGGTACTACATACCACTTTGTTGACTCACCACTGGGAGTTCGGTGTGGTTCCACCCTGCTGTAAATGGATGGCATTTTCCCCTCTACAGTTTGGTGAATGGAAAAGCCTGTGCTGACCTCCGAGCACTGGGCAGTCATAGCTCCCATGGGAAGTTAATAAACAGGCACTGTCATTCAGCTATTCTCTGGTGAGCTTTAGTGGGTGACCCCACACTTTGTTGAGTCCCAGAAGGTGTGTGTCCCTGGATGTCCTGTTCATGTCTCCCCACACCTTAGCTAATTAATGGAAAGGATGTGTGGACTTAACATGGAAGAGGGGGTCTGTGGCTTAACCAAAACAAGAGATAGACCAGTGGTGAGGGCATAATACAACTGGAAAAAACATTTCTAACTCAGGCAAATTTAAAGATCTAGCCAACGTGAATACTTTTTAGGTTGGAGCAACAAAGGTATAATAATTAGTGTGGCAGTAATGTCTGACTGCCATTAGTCTCCCTTAATCTCCCGGAGTCTGCTCCCTAAACGTGGGGTCAATAAAAATAAATGGGGGGGAAATATGACAAGAGGTGGAGAGAACAGTAGAATAACTATTCAAATAGTGTATAAACAGGGGCGCTTGAGTGGCTCATTCGGTTAAGTGTCTGATTCTTGATTTGGTCTCAGGTCATGATCTTATGGTTCTTGAGTTCAAGCCCCACATCGGGCTCTGTGCTGACAGAGCTTGCCTGGGATTCTCTCTCTTTGCCCCTCCCCCACTAGCATGTGCATGCACGCGCTCATGTGCATGCTCTCTCTCTCTCTTTCAAAATAAATTTTTTAAAAAGTGGAAAAACAAGTACAGCTTTGATCAAGTAAAGCCAGCCTTTATTTTAGCTCTAAACCACCATTTCTGGAGTCAAAAATAAAATCATGATCAATTTTTATATCCTCATCCCAGCAGTCCTCATCTTTACTTTTTGTACAAACTGCACGCACATCTGTTACCTAGCCTGTGGGATTCCCAACTGCGCCGATGCCCTTGTCCTGGTTCACACGGAGACAGCTGTCCCCCAGCTGCCAGCCTGGGAGAGAATGGACCACTTCTTGAATCAATAAATGTCAACGGCAACTAAAATATGCATCTAAAACCTAGCTGTTCATCAAAATGTCTGCCGAACCTGAAGACACTAAAATAATTAGTTCCTGACTTTCGTTAAGTATTTTGTACAAGAAGTTCACAACAGCACAAAGTTGTTCTAATATTTTCCCAAAATATTTTACATAAATAGAAGCAATGCCTGATTTTATGGCATTTGGAAACAATTTCCTTATAATAAAAGGCAAAATTTTATTTTATGTCTAGCACTTGGTAGAAAATAACCAGTCTCCAAGAAAACAGAGAATCTAGTGAGCACGTTCAGACCTGGGACCGAAGTACCCTTCGGGACACCCACACTTATCACTGAAGCCACCTCCCAGACTATGGCTAGAGGCAGGCAGCTCTGGGTGTATCTGGAGAATTCATAAGGCAACTCAGCAGACAATGATAGGAGCTGAAGGGAATTCTGAGCATGGAAAAGGCAGCCCAGACCATGTTTTTCTAGAATCAGACCCTGCACATACCATCGAGGAGACAAAGACAGAGAGTTTGCCATCCAGGGGCTAGAATCACATAGTGTCGTCCACAGCCTGGTGCCGGCCATCTTTGGGCCGTCGAGCTACATACAAGCTGCGCGAGGGGCCCCAAGGCCAGAGAGCCATGTGAGCACAGCAACCTTGCAAGTGCGTGCGGGAGGCGACTGAAGGGAGGAAGGGCCTCAGCTGGCGCTCATCTGTCTGGAGCGGGTGATACGTCCCCCGCCTCTTCAACCCCCCCCCGCCCCCACCTGCCCCGCATGCCTGCAGGAGATGGAGCTGGACATGAGGACACAGCGATGGAGCCCTGTTGTCACCCGCTGCCAGGAGCAGCCTGCTCCCTGCGGCGTGCCTGCTGTGGGGACGCCTCCCCCCGAGTGTCTCCAGGTGCCAAGGCCCAGTGCCCTGCACATGAAGGAAGAACAGGAGGCTCAGAGAGAGCAGAGCCAAGGTCCCCCTGTGGTGCCAGGGCAGCCTCGGGAGCTGCTCTTGAAGACCACACCCAGTTCACTCCCTCACTCGCCACACGCTGGCCCTGTCTGCGGGGTCCTTGCCGGAGCTACACCTCCACGGGCTGCGGGGGCCAGTCCAGGCCACAGGGTCGGTTGTCACCAGAGGCTGCCCTGTGGATGACTGGGTGCATGCATGGTGGCTGTCCAGAGACTGCCCGGAGCCAGTGGGAGGGAAGAGGCCTGGTCAGGACAGGGTGTGGCCCACTGGGTCCCAGGTTCAGGTGGTAGGAAAGCAAACGTAGAGGCGTGTGTAAGACGATCGTTTCTCAGACTCATCTGTGCAGTGAGAGCCACCTCAGTTTTGGGAATGATCCAAGGTGATAGTTTGCATGGAAATTAGATCAAATGCTCCAATTAGGCTCAGGGGTGTCAGGCAGACTTGAACTTTCATGCGTCAGAGGCCCACATTCTCAGATGTTGGCTTCCACTGCCCTTTGCCTCTGGGCATCCCCTTGGTCTTCCGCCTGTCCAGTGAGATCTTTGTTATTAACTCCACGTCCTGCCTCTCTGCTCCTTTCATCACTTGGCTCTGATCCTGGATCCTGCACACATTTCCCCTCTGCTGGCAAAGGTACTCTGGGCACTGCAGGAGGGAGGTCAGGCCAATTGAGTGATGGCCACACCCAGGCCAGGTACCTGCAGGTAGCCTTCCCGGAGCCTGGCCAGCATCCCACTGGCCACTTTCCTGCGGCACCTCGGTGACCTCTCCACCACCCAGGGGCCATGGCCTGCCCCTCGCCAGCGAGGGTGTCTCCAGAATGTGCTCCTTGCTGGGGCGCCCAGCCTCCTGTGGGTCCTGTGGCCCCTCCGCTCGCTGTGTCTCTGTCTACGTCTGTGCCCCCTTATTGCTTATCCTGTGTTATTAATGATTCTTTATCCTAAACTTACATTAATTCTTTATATTAAACCAGCCAGATCATTTCACAGTTTCTGTCTCCAAACAGGACCCTGGCAGATATACTGTCTGCCTCACTTTTCTAAGTTCTATTTTGTCTTTTTCTAATCTGCCTGTTTGTATGTTGAATGGAGTGTGTTTACAATTTTGCCTGATGAAGCCATCTTCAGAAGGGATATCTTTATGGGGATGGCCGTGGCTGCAGCTAAAGGTCACATTTGTGCTTCCCGGTGTCTCACGATCTCATCTGTCCACCACTAGCTCTGGACTTGGGAGCCTGCACTACACAAGAGTGTAAATTTCAGGGTGCCTGGGTGGCTCAGTCAGTTGAGTGTCTAATTTCACCTCAGGTCATGATGTCACAGTTTGTGAGTTCGAGCCCCACGTTGGGCTCTGTGCTGACAGCTTGCAGCTCGAAGCCTGGAGCCTGCTTCAGATTCTGTCTCTGTCTCTCTGCCCCTCCCCTGCTCACACTCTAACTGTCTGTCTCCCTCTCTCTCTCTCAAATACAAATAAACATTAAAATTTTTTTTCAAAAGTGTGAATTTCAATTTGAACTTAAAGCTCAAACTTTAGATTTCTCATGAGTGACTTCCTTTCCTTCCCAGAGGCTAGGCAGAGAAGTTTCCTTTTCCCTCTCTGTGCTATGGGTGGGTTTTATTTATTTATTTATTTATTTATTTATTTATTTATTGCACCTTTTCTTGGAGGAGGATCCAGGGTTTGATGGGTCTCAACTCCAGAGCCTTGCCCCAATGTCTGGAATCATCCAACCTGGGCAGGCCTGTGCCAACAGACCAAATGAATCATCTGCACATCAATAAGGGCATTTCCAGAACACATTGTTTCCTGGATGTGCCCCATATCTGAGGTTTCAGACAGTGATGCTGTGGCAAGGTCACAGCCAGCAGAGGTCACTGCCCAATACACTTGTGACACCCTGGACACCGTTACCCCTCTCTTGTGACCTCAAGCCCTAGACAAAGCTGGGATGCGGAAAGCCTTACCTGATAAAAGCTGCATGTTAAGGAAAACCTGATTTTACAAATGTTTCAGGCTAAGACAGCAGCGTGTGTGAGACAGTGGGACCCACCACGCAGCAGGGTGAGGAGCTGTGTTTACCTGGTGGAAGCCCAGATAGTCCACGATTGTTGCTGATGCATAAAATATCATGCCTTCCGCACTCACGACCAGGGCAAAGCCATCGAGAGACTAGAAGAAACAAGAACTAGAGTTGGCTCCTGCATACGTTCTCAAAATCTTCACAGTGAGAAAGTGCAAGCACTGTTTTTGCTGCATTTTCAACCATTTCTCCCACTCTGTAGTCTGTATTCATAACCTCCAGAAATACCCACTTTTAATTTATTTATGACCATTTTGCAATAGGTCCTAAGGTTGCAGATGACAGGGGAACTTGATCATAGTTTATAAGCCTCAGCACTTGTGTTCTTCTCTTTCTAATGCCTATAAAACTCATGCTGTACAAAGTATAAATGTCATCATGATGAGATGAGACCCCACCAGAACCTGGAACAAAACAGGAGACTTACTTCACTCTATGGACTGTCCCTGTTCATGCACTTTTTTTCAGACTATGTTCTGGTTTTCCTAAGAGTTTTTATCATGAAAAAATGTCAAACTCCATCAAGTGCTATTTCTACATCTACTGAAATAATCACATAACATTTCTTTAGTCAATTAGTGTGGTGAATTTCATGATTCCTGATGGTGAATCATTCTTGCATGTTATGGGATAAGCCTTATCATAATTTTTTAAAATGTTTTATTTATTTCTAGGAGAGAGAGAGAGAGAGACAGCGTGAACAGGGGAGGGTCAGAGAGAGAGGGAGTCACAGACTCTGAAACAGGCTCCAGGCTCTGAGCTGGCAGTCAGCACAGAGCCTGACGCGGGGCTCGAACCCATGAACCGCGAGATCATGACCTGAGCGAAAGTCGGACGCTTAACCGACTAAGCCACCCAGGTGCCCCTATCATAATTTTTAATATGCTCTTGGAAATAACTCATTCACTTAGGAGATGTTCATCTGCATTTAAGGAAAAGCTGGCCTACAGGCGTCTCTTCATATTTTGGTGTCGAGATCACTAGACATGAGTCGGGTCCCTCTCCCTCTTTTCCATTTCCTGAACCTACTTATTTAAGGCAAGGGTAAGATGCTCCTTGAAAGTTTTACTTCCAAGAGCATCCACCTCGGGGATGACGGGGAGATGGCAAGTGGAAAGGGGCAGGTTTTAGCACCATGTCAGTTTATGTAATCGTTGTTAGTATATTCAGGTTTTTAATTTTTTCTTATATCAATTATAGCATCTTAAAATATTTTCTAGCAGTGCATCCATTTCCTCTTGATTTTTAAATTTGTTAGTGTATGTTATTCACAATATTTTTATGGTTATTAAATCTGTTTCATCCATAATTATTTGGTGTGCACGTGTGTGTGTGTATAGAAAAGTACAGCATGTGGCTATGCTGTGCATGACTTCAAATCTTTATTTGAAAAGCAAGCTTTAAAGCTCCATCCTGCAGTGATTTCCCAGACCCACCAGTAGTGAAGATGCACAAGAGAGCATAGCCAGCAATTTACATGATCAATGAACATTTCATCTATCTACCTACCTTCATCTATCTATCATCTATCTATCTATCTATCTATCTATCTATCTATCTATCTATCACCTACCTATCATCTATCTACCTACCTATCATCTATCTATCTACCTATCATCTATCTATCTACCTACTTACCTACCAACCTATCATTTATCTATTTATCTATCTATCTATCTATCTATCTATCATCTATCATCTTCTTTCTGCTCATCATCATCATCATTATGATAAAGAAAATGATAGCTCACACTGTGCAAGTCCTCATGAGTATCAGGTACCCTACTTGGAACATCTCATTCAATTCTACATCACCTCCATGCAGCAGGAGGTTGTAACTCTACTTGGCCATTGCAGAAGCTGGAGGTGAGGGACGCATCTGAGCAGTGGAGTTCATAAGTATTTCAATTTGTATCTTTAAAACAGACACTTAGAGGCTTTAAATTAACTTCTATGAAGTTTATGGTTATTGGCAGTATATCACAATAGTCATTTCCCTTAATTCTTGACCATGTGGGATATTTTTTCTTTTAAAATTTTTGCTAATTTGTTAAGTGATAAATTATTTTACTATTATAATTTTTATTTCTTTGATTATTAATGGGATTGATATTAATGAGATTTCATACATTCACTGTTAGCCTATAGTTCTTTGGCAAACCACTCATTTGCATACATCATTGGCTAATTTTTCTATTAGGGTTTATAAACATCAGTTCCTAAGAGCTTTTAAATTGCTAATATTGAAGATCTCGAGGCACCCACCTCAAGTAGTGGTGTGGTGGCAGCCACCTAAACCCAAATACCCTCTCTTGTAAATGATGGGAAATAACAGGAAGAAACTACACAAACCAGTGCCCTTGTCATGATGAGATCACGGGGAGCTGGTAACTTGCAGGACGTATTAGCAGACAACAGAGAACTCAATTCTAGTGAGCTATGAAAGGAAGAAAGTGTAGTTTCCTTTCCTTTCTCCTTAGGAAACTAGAGAAAAAGAGCCAATTAAATCCAATGTAAATGGAAGAAAGAAAAAAATAAAAACGAGTGAAAAAAGTCAACGATATTGTTTAAAACTGTCAAATAATGAACATCATCAAGAAAGCCAAATTTGGTTCTTTGAAAAAATTTATAAAATTGATAAACCCCTAGCAAATTTTATCAAGAAAAATACAAATTGCTGACACCAGGGACTTAAAATCATTACAGAGCTGGGCACCTGGGTGGCTCTGTTGGTTAAGCATCCTATTCTTCATCTCAGCTCAGGTCTTTTTTTGGTAATAAATTCAAAATTCTTTTTTTTTTAATTTATTCATTTTTGAGAGGGGGAGGGGCAGAGAGAGGGGGGGAACAGAGGATCTGAAGTGGGCTCTGCACTAACAGTAGAAAGCCCCATGTGGACTTGAACTCACAAACAAGGTCACCACAAGATCATAATCTGAGCCCAAGTTGGATGCTTAACTGACTGATCCACCCAGGTGCCTGTCAGCTCAGGTCTTGATCTCGGGGTTGTGAGTCTGAGTCCCTTGCTGGGCTCCACACTAGGCATGGAGCCTACTTAAAAACAACAACAAGAACAACAAAAAACCTTCCCACAAAGAAAACTCCAGACCCAGATAAAACACACACACACACACACACACACACACACGCACACAAAATGCCTAGGAATAAATCTGATAAAAGATGTACAAAACCTGAATAATCCAAGAGATATGCCGTGTTCCTGGATTGGAAGACTGTATGGCCTAGAGAGCCCAGTCTCCCTGAATCAGTCTATGGATGTGGTGCAATCCCAATCCCAATCTCAGGAAGGTTTTCTTCTCTTTGCAAAAATTGTCAAGTTGATTCTAAATTTTATATGTGCAGAGGGCCCATGTTTGCTAAAGCAACCATGTTAAAGAAGAACAAAATTCCAGAACTTACGCTGATGTCACGACTTAGCATAAAGCTGTGGTAACCAGGACAACGAAGTGTTAATGTGTCTGGGACAGCTGGTTGTCCGTGTGGAAAAAATGAACACGGACTCCTATCTGATTCCACAAAAATTAATTCAAAACATAGCTTAGGCCTAAAGATAAAACCTCATGATCATAAGGTTTCTAGAAGAAAACAAAATGTCTTCATGAGTTTGGAATAGGCAGATTTGGATAGGACGCAAAAACACTAGCCCTTCATGGAAAAACTTGATAAATTGGATTTTATTAAAAGACCATTTAAAAATGAAGAGACAAGCTGCAGGGCAAGGAAACAATATTCACAGTACATTGACAAAGGACTTCATCCAGAATATATAAAGTCTATAAATTAATAGTAAAAAGATGAACAACCAACTTTTTTAAATGGGCAAAAGAACTTGAGCAGATACTTTACTAGGGAGATGGAAGGCTGGCCTATCTACGGATGCAAATGTGTCAACATCATTAGTCATCATCAGGGAAATGCAAATAAACATCACATTAAGATACCATTTCATAAACACTGGGATGGCTACAGTCAAAAAAATGGACAACACGAAATGTTGGTGAGAATATGAACGAACACCAGTAAGAACGTAAAATGTGACAATCATGTTGGGAAGCTGTGTTGTGATTCTCGTAAACGTGAACATGCATCTCCCCTATGACCAGAAATTCTACTCTAAGTGCTTACCCAAGTGAGATGGGCATGCGCACAAAAACACCCTAACAAGAATGTTCATAGTGGCCTCCTTCCCAACAGTCACACTCTGGAAATAACCCAGCATCTACCAACCCCACATGAGGGTTATCACACAGAGAAAAAGAGCACCCTGCTGATCATGGGGCCTATGTGTCTATTTATACGGAGCCCAGAAGCAGGCCAAGCAAATCAATGGGATAAATACCAGAAAGCAGTTCCCTGGCGGTAGCAGAGGGAACCAAACTAAATGAAAGCAGGAGAAAGTTACAAATAAATTTGAAGCCCTAAGTAAATGTATGCTTTCCTAGGAAAACATGATGTACCCATCAGAACAGAAACTTTACATGACTGATTTCTGTAGACGAAATGGGAAGTTACCAAGGAGCCGGCCCACAGAAATGCACCAGGCCCAGATGGCTCTAACATGTAACTGCACCAAATCTTAAAGATCACATCACATCAATGTGCCATAAATTGTCCCAGAACATAGAAAGTGAAGGAAACTTTCTAATTATTTTTAGACACTGACACTTAACTCTGATCAAAGAGAAGTACAATAAAAATAAAATTATAGACCTTTAGTTATAGATGAGAATGTACAAATAAAACATTAGCAAACAGATTCCAATTTCACATTAAGGAAATATAATGCACATGACCAAGTGAACTTATTCCAGAATGCAAGTTTGACTCACCATAAGGAAATCCGTTAGCTTAATACAGATTTATAGATCTATGGGAAAAAGTCTTATAATAATCTCCGTAGATAGTAAAAAAGCTTTCCACAAAATTCAACATTAATTCCTTATAAAAACTCTTAAGAAAATGGGAATTAGGGTCACATTCTTAACACAGTAGTGTGGGGGGTGGCGGGTATGTGGTATTCCTAAGTCACCAACTTATTTTGCAGGGAAACATTCTAGGTGTTTCC